GGGGGAATAGGACTAGCAGAGACAAGCCTGTCTTTGTTTGGTTGCTTCGGCACCACAAGGGCCTGCAGAAGGATTCAAGTGGCTCGCCTGTTGGCCTCCTCCTCTCGTCCTCTCGCTTGTGTCTAAATAAAATGGAACTCACCGAATTGTCGTTGGGATCCGCGGGCAGGCTGTCCTTCATGCGAGGACGACCGGGCCGTCGCTTCGTGGGAGCATCTGCACTTGTGGTACCCGCATTCGCATCCGCCCTGCTGGTGCTGGTGCTCCCACTAGCAGGATTCGTGCTCATGGTTGTGTATTGTAATCAAACAAAAAAGACAATTAATACCAAGAAAATCAAAGATAGTAGATAGACGATAGACAGAAGGCGTGTTGTGTGATTCGGCAGATGTTGGCGCAGGAAGGGATGGTTGGGACGAGGAGGATTAATGATTTGTCGTCAATTTGTCCACTTTTTCAGGATCGTCTCTCTTCCTTCAAGACTTTTGTCTTCTCGTCTCTCTCTCGCTGTGTTCTTTGCTTTGCTTCGTAACAAAGTACCAAGCCCAGCCTGTGTGTGTGATGGCTCGTCTGTTGAATATGAGGGAGGACGGAGATGACAAATATCGCAGTTTGTCGACGGCAGACAAATTAATTCATCAGAGCCGCCTATTTGCTGCTCCGGACTTGGTCCCACTTGTCCGCCACTCCGCTCAGCGACGGAGCCGGAGCTGAGCCCGGAGTTGACCGGGGAAGAAGGAGAAACGACGGAAGAGGCTGTTTTGTGTGCTTTCAATGTACTTGATCTGTCTCGCAGCGCCCCCCCAACTCGACTGATTACTCTATGGACAGAACGGGTCTTTCGGACATAGCGGTTTTTGCAGGCTTGGCGATGGGACTCTGAGCGGCGGATTTTCGAAGAACAAATGTATGTGTTGCTCAGTTATGATGTTGCGGACGGAGAGGATAGCGGGTTAAGTGCTGGGTGTTGTTGATGAGGAGGCATAGTGACTCTGAAGCCATAGAGTGCTTGATTACGAAGACTGGAATGCCGCCGTTCTTGTTCCCTTGAGAGATTAGAGCGTGTATGCCATGATATATATATCATTGATGCTGTCCTGGCTAAGGGGTCTGATTCTATACACAACTCAGTTTGATATCACCAGGTTCAGCAAAGTGCATCAACGTCAACGCTTCTCAAGCATCCCAAATCTTACAAGCAACTCCTTCAGGATGCCTACCACCCTTACTCGCAAGCTGGGCAAGAACGGCCCCGAGATCCCCCCCGTTGGCTTCGGCCTCATGGGCATTGGCATCGACTGCTACGGTGCAACCGGGTACTATTCTCTATCCCGCCACTCGCACACGCACACACACTCTCTCTACTCCGTTCCGTGAATCACGCTTCCAGAATCATATGACACACCCTGTCTAACGTGAGACCGCATCAGCAATGACGAGGAGCGCCTGGCCGTGCTCGACCGCGCCTGGCAGATCGGGTGCACCCACTGGGACACGTCCGACACCTACGGGGACTCGGAGGAGCTCATCGGCAAGTGGCTCAGGCTGCACCCCGAACGCCGCGCAGACGTCTTCCTGGCCACCAAGTTTGGCATCTCGGCCGAGGCCCTGCCCGACGGGACGTACAAGGGCAGCGTCAACAGCACGCCCGAGTACGCCAAGGCGGCCTGCGAAAGGAGCCTGAAGCGGCTGGGCGTCGACACGATCGATCTGTACTATGCGCACCGCGTAGACGGCAAGACGCCCATTGAGAAGACGGTCCAGGCCATGGCTGAGCTGAAGAAGTAAAGCCCCCCTTCCTTCTTTCTGCAGTCTTCCTAGAAGCAACTCTGGCTGAACAAAGGAAAAATAAACCAAAACACAGTGAGGGCAAGATCAAGTATCTCGGCTTCTCTGAAATCTCGGGCGACAGCCTCCGCCGAGCCCACGCCGTGCACCCCATCTCGGCCGTGCAGGTCGAGTACCACCCCTGGGCCCGCGAGATCGAGGGCCCCAAGTCCAAGCACCTCCTGCGGGCCTGCCGCGAGCTCGGCGTGGCCGTCGTCGCCTACTCGCCGCTGGGCCGCGGCATCCTGACGGGCCAGCTCACGTCAACGTCGGACCTCGAGGCGTCCGACTACCGCAACAGCCTGACGCAGTTCAAGGGTGACAACCTAACGAAGAACCTGCGGCTGGTGGACAAGTTCAAGGAGGTTGCGCAGAACAAGGGGTGCAGCCTCTCGCAGCTGGCGCTGGCGTGGCTGCTTGCCCAGGGAGACGACATCTTTCCCATTCCCGGCACGAAGAAGGTCAAGTACCTCGAGGACAATTTTGGCGCCCAGGACGTGAGCTTGACGGCGGAGGAGGCGGGCGAGATTCGGAAGCTGGTGGATGAGCTGGGAGTTGCGGGCGAGCGTGATGTTGCGTTTAACGAGTATGCCGATACGCCTGCTCTCTAGGGGGGCATTACATTGTGCCTCGTATGGCGATGCTACAGCAACAGGAGTTGTTTGTGAGCATTTTGATACTGTTGATATGTGTCCTAGGAATTCGTTGTTTAGCACATGGACTCCATAACTTCACCTACTACTACCTCGAGTTAGTTACTATTGCCGAGGTATTACGAGATTCTATTTCCTGCGAGTGGACTTGACAATGTGACTCTACCTATTACTACCCATCCATGTGCAGTAGCCTGTATCCGCAGCTCATGCAAGCAGTACTACTAACTTATCCTCTACCTACAACCTCTACCTATAATATGCGTATCGTTCGCAGTCCTGATGCTATATTTAGCCTCAGCTCGTTGAAAAAGCCTCAAGTCCCGCAGCAACACCTTGAGGCATATGCACATGTATCTTCTACTCCCCTGAGAGGTCGCAGGCGCAAGATGCAGAGCAGATGCAAGGCAAGATTGCATCTCGTTATTCATTCAGCGCATTTGAATTCCCTCTTCTCAATTCCAACGACAACAGATGATTCCCCCTCCTCCCCCCTTATCATCCCTCTCACAAAATCCAGCCCATTATCCTCCACCAATTTTTGCCTCCCACCCCAAGTCTTCATATAGCCGACTCGGTGATTATTCTTTCGCTGTTGGTTTGCTTCCTTGCCGCCCATTGATCGCAATGTACACACCATGTAGCCAGTTCAACTCAGATCCAAAAATGCAACTTTGCCGCCTCGCAAACTGGACGCCTTGCAGCGGTTTTCCGCATCGTAAATCATTTCCCCTTTTCCCCCCTTCGCCTTCGTGAACCGCCACAGCCTCTCTCTCTCTCCCTCTCTCCCCTTTTTATTCCCTTGGTCGCAGCCATTGAGGGCTATCGCGAACTCTCTCCCCGTCACCACACTCTCGATTCTAAACTGCACATGCAAACACCAGAACACCAGATAATCCCGTGCATCATCAATAGCGAAGAGAAAAATCACCAGGGAATGTCACAGCAACTCCCGCTCCGCCTCGCATCGCCCCGCACGCGAAGCTCGGACAGCAGCAGCAGCAGGCAAATAGGCTAATTGCCCATCAACTCACCAAGCTGATCCCCGAACAACAAAAGAAACCGAACGGCATAGGATCACACTATTATTACCCCCTTAAGCCAGCAGCAGAAAAAAAAGATGTGTACCTTTTTCTGGTGCCACGTCCTCTGCCCGTGCCCGTACGAAAAGGACTGCGCCCTGGCCCGGAACCGCATCGTCTTCTGGGACGGCCTGTGGCGCCACCAGACGGCCAAGCAGGCCCCCGTGCCGGACTCGGGGACGACGTGCGAGCGGCGCAAGGAAAAGTTTGGCGAGGACGCGGCGCCGGACTGGAAGTGTCCGTACCGGGACCTGCTGGGCTGGATGGTGGAGCTGACGTACGTGGTGGACTCGAAGCCGTGCGCCGAGTGCCGGCATAAGTGCAAGGCGAACTTTGAGAGGAGGATGGAGGAGGAGGGGAGGGCAGCCGAGGCGGTTGTGTCGTAGTACGTGAGTGAGGGGGAAAGAGGTGGTTTGGGGTTTGGGGGCCTGATGAGGATAATGACAAGATTGATACGATACAGCCTGGTGCTGGAGGACGGATAATGATGATGAGGGAACGATATCGGGATGGATTATTGGTATTTGATGGTATACCAGCGCCATCTTTTGCTCTTTTTAGCATTAATGATCTTGACGGACATGAGCAGAGCTCCAGTTATGTTATTTGCAGCAGCTAGTTTACGACGTACGAAAGCAACTTAAAGCATCCTACTCAAGCACACTTCATAGTTGTGGTATCATGTCATTGTTGAACATTCTCTACCTATTTCCATCTTTTGACTTACTTCCATGCTGTCATGAGCATCCATCACCATGGCCTTTTCAGCTGTTCTCCTCCAGAGACATGATACAGCCGCAATGGCCGGCGAACTCACCCTGCGACACTTCACGATAGCTTCCTTTGCATTACAGGATCGTTCAAGAGTGACGTCAGAACCTCTCTGTGTCATCCATGGTCACAAGGCCAAATCAGGATATACAGGTACTACTCCAAGGCAAGCAAGCCAGATCGTAGTCAAGTCAACCTAAGGTTGCCAGTCCCAGTCCGACGCTCTCCAGGAACACCTGAATCAAACCTGCATCAACCGATCTACAAATGCAAGGCTGACCCAATCCCCCCATACAAACTCAAACTTGCCATTCCCCAAGCCGAAGAACCACATCTGGCCCCAAAAGAACAACAACACAATCGCGAAATCTCATCGCTTGGCCCGGGAATTTCCCCAGACGGCATGGGGGGAGGGACGATGCAGGCATCCTGGGCCCCTAGTTTCTTTCCCCGCATATAGGGAAAACTCGACGGACAATTCCATTGTCCCCTCCCCCAGCCAGACTGCGGGGAATTTCGTGAGATGTCGATCCTGGCCTTGTTTCTCTCTTGAGGAGGGAAAACTCCGTATGCCGAGACCCAGTTTTCAAGCTATGCGAGGTTCTTTACTCTCAGGTCTCGCAAGCATGGTTTCCCCAGAGTTCCTCCAGGAATGGAAATGCTGTGTAGTGCTCGGTGTGCGTGGAGAAGGCATGTTGGCAAAAGTGTTGTTGTATGGAGATCCCCCGCAGCAGCAGCGTTCAAATACCCGTCGGGTTGAGGTGATCTACACCGCATATAAAGTATCGTGATGGCAAACGTTCTGGAGTGCATTCTGCTTTTATGAGAATGAGCTCCTCCAGTTCCCTACATTGAGTGCTTGAAAAAACTCAGTTCACCATGAAAAAGGTCGCTGCTGTGGCCGCACTGGGCATGAGCCCGAGCGGTGTGACGGCGAGGAAGTTTTGGACGTCCAAGCCGGCTGATCCGGGGAACGTTCTGATGACGGCATACACCATTGGTAACGGGAGACAAGGAGGTGCGTTTGCGATCATGAATATGAACGAGGTTTGGTGATGGATGGGGGTTGGACTTACACATATGCTGCCTGTGTAGGCTTGCCACTGGGCATTCCCGGCAATGACTTGCTTTGCCTCAACGACGACAGCCTCTGGCGCGGAGGTCCGTTTGCAAACTCGGTAAAGATGCCACGGCCACTCGCCTTGGAGTGATACAGATTGCTGAATGAGAGCTTTGGCAGAGTTACACGGGAGGGAACCCCTCGTCATCGCTGGCGCACTTCTTACCCGGCATCCAAGAGGCCATTTTCCAGAACGGAACAGGAGGTACGTATGCTTCCATGCAGACACCACGAGATACAAGACACATTGGTTGATGCGTAGACTATCACCTGCAGATGAATCTGCTCTGTACGGCGGTACGGCAGACTACGGCTCCTATGAAGCCCTCGCAAACCTCACCGTCTCCGTTGCAGGGGTGACCCATTACTCCCAGTACAAGAGAACGCTGGACTTGGAAACGGCATTACACAGCGCTGAATTTGCTGCCAATGGAGCTTCTTTTTCTACGTACGACCCCATCTTTCCAACCACGCATACTCACCCATTTATGCAATGCTTGCTGATTGGTCCTCAGTGTCCAGTTCTGCTCCTTTCCAGACCAAGTCTGCGTCTACCACGTCTCCTCCAACAAGCCCCTTCCCGACATCACAGTCGGCCTCGTCGACAACTACCGCACCAACCCCCCTTCCACCGTCAAATGCTCCTCCGACGGCATTCATCTCAGCGGACGAACCGTGGCCGACGAGGGCGAGGGTCTCATCGGCATGAAGTTTGATGCCCAGGCCCGCGTTCTGTCGTCCAGCGGAGTCAAGACCTCGTGCAATAGCCGTGGGCAGACGGTTGTTCATGCGAACAGGGCGAAATCGGTTACTATCGCTGTGGCTTCGGGAACAGAATACGATGCGAAAAGGGGCAATGCTGCGCACAACTACTCCTTCAGGGGGGCCGACCCGTATCCTGGTGTCTTGAAGACGATCAAGGCAGTGTCCAAGAAGAGTTATAGCGCCGTCCTGCAGAGCCACGTCAAAGACCACGGCGAGTGGTTCAACAAGTTCACTCTGGATCTGCCTGATCCCCATCACTCGGCCAACGTCGACACGACTGACCTGCTCACCGACTACACCACTGAAAGGGGGGATCCGTTTGTTGAGAACTTGCTGATTGACTATGGAAAGTACATGTTCATCGCTTCGTCGCGACCGGGTTCGCTGCCCCCGAATTTGCAGGGCTCGTGGGCTCCGGATGGGAATCCGGCGTGGAGTTCGGACTATCACATTGACGTGAATGTGCAGATGTGAGGACACAGATCACCGGTATGATGATGGGAGTCGCTGACGAGGTCTCTAGGAACCACTGGCACGTTGAAAAGATGGGCTTGGGCGGCTTGACTGATCCTCTGTGGGACTTTATGACCTATACGTGGGTTCCTCGCGGGACCGAGTCTGCACGGCTGTGGTACAATGTCAGCGGATGGGTGGCTTTTACGAATCTCAACACCTTTGGCCATACGGGGTGAGTACAAGTACATGTATCTGATCTCTCGTACAGCTCCTAACTGTTGTGCAGACAGATGAACGATGCGACCTGGTCGAATGTTGCTCATGATATTGCCTGGATGAGTGAGTTGTCCTTTGAATCATAGATGGTCGTGGAAATGTCTGCTAATGTTCTTGACAGTGGCACACGTCTGGGATCGCTACGACTATGGCCGCGACGAGAAGTGGTACGCCTCTGTCGGATATCCCATGATGAAGGGCGTGGCCAGCTTCTGGGTGGACATGCTGGTGCAGGACAGATACTTCAACGACGGCACACTGGTTGCGAACCCTTGCAACTCTCCTGAGCAAGGCCCGACGGTACGCTCAACTCCTGAGTACTTATTCGTGGTAACCAAGTTGACGAATGTTGTGGCAGACTTTTGGCTGTTCTCAGTTCCAGCAAGTCATCTGGGAGTTGTTTGACCACGTCATCAAGGACTGGGACGCATCAGGCGACAAGGACGAAGCATTCTTGAAGCGAGTCAAGGCGTCGTACAGCAAACTGGACCCGGGGGTTCGCGTCGGAAGCTGGGGCCAGATCCAAGGCAAGTTGTTGTGACAGCTCCCCGGATAGCTGTTGGAAAGCAAAAAAGCTGACTGAACCCTGCAGAATGGAAGCTGGACCTCGACGTCAAGAACAACACGCACCGCCATCTCTCTCACCTGTACGGCTTCTATCCCGGCTACGTCATCTCCAGCGTCCACGCAGACAACAAGACCGTCATGGACGCCGTCGCCACGAGCCTCTACTCCCGCGGCAACGGCACCGAGGACTCCAACACGGGCTGGGAGAAGGTTTGGCGCGGAGCCTGCTGGGGCCAGCTGGGCGTCACCGAAGAGGCCTACAAGGAGCTCAAGTACGCCATCGACATGAACTTTGCGGCCAACGGACTGTCCGTGTACACGACGGGCAGCTGGCCGTACGAGGTGACGCTGCCGTTCCAGATCGACGCCAACTTTGGGCTGTCGGCGAATGCGCTGGCGATGCTGTACACCGACCTGCCGAGGAAATGGGGAGACGACAGCGTCCAGAAGGTGATTCTCGGGCCGGCGATTCCCAGGGAGTGGGCGGGCGGGAGCGTCAAGGGAGGGAGTCTGAGAGGAGGCGGGACGGTGGACTTTAGCTGGGACGACGAGGGAGTCGTGACGCGGGCGGTGCTGCGCGGGAGGAGGCTGCCGATTGTGGTGGTGAATAAGCAGGGCAAGGTGCTGGCGAGAGTCTGATTTCTTTTTGTTGGAAAACGAAGTTGAGAGAGTATTCGTTGTCGTTTGAACATCTGGTTGTCTCTGGTTTGTGAGGTTGAAAGGAAGTTGGAGATGGCTTCACATCGATGGACCCAAATTGGAGGCCTTCACCGGGGCATCATCCCCTGGAACAGCCACTGAAACGTGGGACGCGAAGCGCTAAAGCGTAGCGCCTGTAGAAGCTTAGAAGCTTAACCTTTAGCGCAGCGGCCCTCCACTTGTGCCTTGCGCCGGTGGCGAATCGGTGACGCAGCCAGCAAGCACCGCCAGACCGGCGCTTGGGTGGCCAACCACGAGGCGCCGCGATGACGTTTGCATGTGATGGCAGGATAAAGGCTGGATGAGACCAAATTTCGACATCAGTTTCTCTTCATCTGCTCAGGACATTGATCCCAGTTCTGTTGTTCTGGTCTGTTGGTGCTGCAGCTTCTTATATCACAGGGGTGATAGTGACAGAAACCCCGCCTAAACCGCCTGGAGCAATTAACCCCGCGTCGTCACATCACATTGGACTGCAGTTGATCGCATCGCATCGCATCGCATCGCATCGACCTTCACCTTGTCAACTTAATACTCCCTTTACCTCGTCGCCTCTCTCCTATTCTCGCCACTCCTACTAACCATCATCACCACCATGGCTTCTTCACATAATGTTTGTCTCGCCTTTACCGAACAAACTCTCCCCGTCACCGGCTAACCCCCCCTCCAGGACCCCAAGCTGCTCTACTCAGTCGAGGGCATCAAGGCCTACCACATCGCCAATGGCTCCGAGCAGTCCCTGACGCCCTCCGGCCCCCAGACCCTGTCGCTGCTCATGGTCCCGACCTCGTCTGGCTTCGCCGACCCGACCGGCGTGGGCAACGGCGAGCAGGACTTCTACCTCCACCTGCATCTGCCCCCCGAGCTGGACCTCCCCCTGCCCGCGACCACGCAGATCTACCACCAGCCCCCCAGCAGCTACCTGATCCCGCTGGGACCTCGGCCCCGGCAACGGCGCATTCACCCGCCTCGAGTTCCCCGTCGTCGGCAGCAGGCCCGGCGTCCAGGAGGATGTCGACACCTTTGAGACCATCCTCGCCCAGTGCACCGCCTTTCTGGAGCGCGCGCCGGCGCCCCCTCCGGAGAAGCGACCATCTGCCCAGCGCAAGCCGTCCGATGCGGCTCGGGCCAAGGCGAGAGAAGCTGGCAGGGACGAGCCTCCCGCCTACAACCCGGCCAACTTTGATCCCGGCGAGGGCTATGCTCAGGGGAGCCCCAGCTCACACCTGCCGGGGAGGATCGTGCTCATCGACGAGGAGGATGGCAGCGTCATGGGCGAGCTGAGCGAAGGCTTCAACGTCGTCGAAGACAGTGCCATTAAGCCAGGCTCCAAGGGTAGGTGTTGCTCTCCAAATTTGTCCGTTGTGATATCCGGCTTACAGGTCTCGCACCAGAACCCGTCGAGATTATCCTCCCCGCCGATGGCAGTCAGAACATCTCCGTCCAGCCCGCATACGACTACATCGAAGACACCATGCACCCGGCCTACAAAAAATCAACCATTGTCTCGTCAGCCTCAAAAGCCTCGCGGCTTCTCATCACCACATCCGACTACGTCGCCAAGGCATTGCAGAGCCAGGCCGACAACTTCACCAGGGCGACCAAGCCTGCCGCGAAGCCCATGACGTTCGCCCCCACGACGCACGACCATATCCGCCGCATCAACCACTATTCTACCAAGGTGGCCACGTTGTCGGCGCAGACGATTGGCTCCATCAACCAGTTTGCCCAGAACTTTGGTGCCGGCATGTCTAAGCGTAAGGACGGCAAGGCTCGGGGCTTCGACAAAGATGGAAACGTCATCGAGACATACAAGCCGGGCGTGCTCAACAAGAGCTTGATGGCCTTTAACACGGTCGTCGACGGCATGGAGCAGGCTGGAAAGACGCTGCTTTCCGGAACGACTTCGAGCATGTCCACGGTCGTCGGTCATCGCTGGGGCCCTGAAGCCGGCGAGCTGTCTCGGAACCTCGGCAGCGGTTTCAAGAATGTCGGCCTTGTGTACATTGACGTGACCGGCGTCTCTCGCCGCGCCATTCTCAAGAGCGTCGCCAAGGGCATGGTTGTTGGCAAGGTCAAGGGAGGCGGACAGATAATCGTCGGCGGCGACAGCAACGCATCGAATGCAGCCCTTGTGTCTGGGGGCAATGGAAACGGCGAGTCGAGCACGATACACAACACCTATGGCGGCGACATTAACATCCCAGGGGCAAAGGACCGGAATGGAAACGGCAACGGCAACGGCAACGGCAATGGAAAGGGCAATGGCAATGGCACTGGGAAGAAGCCGGCCTGGTGATGCGTCTTTGTGTATATGTGTGTTTGAAGTTGTTGTATTTTCTGTTAGTATGACTGGTGCTGTGATACCACCGACATGAGAAACGACCAAGTTTGCGAATTCTTATCAAAATAGCTGGGAGCGGTTCGAATGATGCAGATAGTAACCAATTGAGTACATAATAGTCTAGAGCAAACAGTCATTGTCAATCGGAGACATAAGACTATCGTCCAGCTGCAACTCGAAGCAGATCAATATGGGCGTGCAGCCGAATCTCATCACGTGCCCACGCGGCCGGCGATGACGGCACGATCCCTGAAGCTTCACTATCAGTCGGGATAGCTTCCTCCAACAAACGCGTCGGAGAGGCGCTTTTCCCTCTTCACAACCTTTTTGTCCTTCACCATGCAACAATCGCGACTCCTCCGGCTGTAAACACTCCTGCCAGGCTTCAATCCGAGAGCCGTGCCTGCGATTGCTTCCAGCTCGAATGCTTCGCCAGCTCTGTGGCCCTCGTCCGCCCTGAACCCCGCCATCACCGAACGAACCGCGTCTGTCCCTCGAGCAAAAACATCCCATCACCCGAAAGAGCAATCAATGTGCCGGTTTGAGCTGCTAGGCGTCGTCATTCTTATCGTCCACCGCATCAGCGACTCGCTCAAGGCCCGAAAAGCCCGCAGGAGGTCCGTCATCCACGCCCAACGGTCCGCTTCATCGCAAACAAGTTCCCGCCGTCCTGACTCTTCTCTAACGACTTTTTGCCTCTTCCTAGATCTTCCAAGCCAGAGCCATGCTCCACGAAATCCTCCTCTCGCTCTCGGGCCATCCGTCGCCTCTCCTCCGAGCCGGAGCTGCCGAGTCGGGCGCCGTGTCTGGCGTCACGCCCTCGGAACGGCAGCTGCTCGCGTCGGCAGCGCATCTGAGCGACATCCACATCAAGCTCATCAAGTACGCCGGCCAGACTGCCGGCGCGCACCCGTCGCCGATATGTCGGGCCGTGGGGACGGCGATACAGTCCATACATCTGTCTGCCTTTCAGCGCAAGATCCTCGAGGTGGAGGAGAGCATACTCAAGGAAGACCCGGAGCTGGTGGGCGAATACAACATTGTGCCCCTGACGGCTGTCATGGGCGAGTTTACGCAATGGACGCGGCTTTTCGAATGGCTTTGGGATATCGTTCAGTTCATGATGACAAAGGACGAAAAGGGCGCTTGCCGAGGCTCGCAGATCATGAACCGTCTGCGAACCGAGCTGCTGAGCGGTTACCGGGACGTGGAGGAGGCGGCCATGAGCTTGGTCAAGGTCGCAGAGACTGCGTGGCTGAAACAAGTGTCGGCATGGGTCCTCTATGGAAGACTGCCGAATCTGGGAGGCGATGACTTTTTCATCCAAAAGGTGGATGGGACAGCCGAGGTATGCATCTTCACAACTTCAAGTGGTGGTTGACCTTGCTCTCTGACTTGATATAGTACATCTACGAACCAGAACTGCTGCCGGGATTCGTCACGCCCGCTACAGCGGCATCGATGCTGTTCATCGGCAAGTCACTCAACCATACCCGTGTCAGGGCCACTGTCGATTCAGGTATGGGAGGGCTCGATCATCTGTCAACAAAGCTGCAAGAGCTGGCCAGCTTGTCGTTTCCCATCAACGGCGCCACGTTCGCGAGAACAATTGTCTCCATCCGACTATCACTTTCGCAAAACACCCTTCAAAAGATATTACCCACAGCAAAGGTCATTGAAACGCTGCAACTGCTGCGAGAGTTCTTCCTCCTGGGGAGAGGAGAGTTTGCCATGGCCCTGACTCAGGAGGCGGACGATAGGATTCGCAACCGCTGGCGGAGAGCCGGCAACCTAGCGCACGACAGCAAAGATGGCATGAAGAACATTACCGTCAAGGACGGGGAAGTCTCTGCCGTCTTGGCGAGGACGTGGGCCGTCTTGGTAGCCATGCAGCGGAACCAAGTCGAGGAAGACGAGCTGCTGGAGCTGGCGAGAGACCTGCTTCGGCTACACCTCACCAAAGCCACTCTGCCACCAGTCACCGTCAGTCCAGGCCTGAATGCCGACGAGGCCAAGCTGGTGGCGTCATCTCCATTCCGAAATCTGCTCTTCTCAACTCCCGCCACCCTATCCATTCAGCTCCCATCACCGCTCGACATGGTCATCTCGCCCTCAGACCTCCAGCTGTACTCGTGCATCAACTCCTACCTCTTGTCCATGCGTCGAGCCCACATTCGTCTCACCGACTTATGGAAGATCACATCTCTACGACGGCATCATCCCGCCCCCCGCGGCGCAACCGAGTATGCCGGCATTCTCCGAGAGCGGTGGTCGGCCCGCGCAGCAGCTCTTCGAAGCTCGTGGACGACTGCGAGCGCCGCCATCTTCTTCCTCGCCGAAACAGAGGCCTTCTTCCAGACGGAAATCGTAGAAGGTCTTTGGGAAGGATTCCTCACCTGGCTGACGGGGAAAGACAGGCGGCGAGAGGGCGGTCGTTCTGGTGCGGCCACTCCGGCGGCGCATTCAGCCAAGCACAGCACGACGACAATGGACTGGAGGCCCAGCTCCTCCAGCAACGCCGCCAATCCAAACGATGTGTCCAGGATTCTCTCACGGCCTGCCCCTGATCCGCAAACCCTCGCTACCGCTCACTCCCTGTATCTCCGCACGCTCGTCCACCGGCTTCTCCTCACGCAGCCTGCGTTTACAAATCTTCTCTATACGCTCCTCAACCACATCGACCATCTCATCACACACATCCAGCGATTGCACTCCATCTTCACATCGATAGACCTCGAGACCGACGCCGGGGTAGTCGACTCGTCCATGGATCTCGGCCACGAGGAACGCCAGACAATGGCGCTCCTACGGGGCGTCGAGGGCAAGATCCAGCGGGGCATCGAAGACGTCATAGCCGCGCTGCGGGCCTTGGAGGGAGACGTCGAGTTTCTCGCCAGGTGGGAGGGGCTGGACGGGACGGTGGATGTGCAGGACGAGTATGGCGATGGGGAGAGGTACATCCCCGTCAGGGTCGGGGGGATCAATCGGCTGTTGATGAAGCTGGATTTTGGGACGTGGATTACCACGCAGGGGGAGTATGTCTGATGTTGGTCTGTTATGCGTGCTTTTCTTCAAATATCTGCATGGAGGAGTGGCCGGTGTTTTGCTTGGTCTCTGATTCATGTTATAGAGGCTTTATTGGTAGGTTTTCACGTCACATTACAACAATAGAAAGGCGTATCATGCGGCATGGAATCAGATGGAATGAACTCTTGTTATTCGTAATCCAAGTCAAGAAACTTCCCAAATATATCCCAGCCAAATCTATCTATCAATGTTCATATATACGTATGCAATCATATCCCAAAACAAATCCCATGAAATGCCGTGCTATAAAAAAATTCGCGCATACATCATCAATCTTTTCGCGCTTTGAAAAGTGTGAAGAAAGAAAATGCAAAATTCCAGATTCCCGAAAAAGAAAACAAAACGCCCGAAGAAATGTATATGTTGTGTATGATGCCCCCCCTTTATATATATAATATCCATCCCCCCCCGTCTCTCTGTTTTCCATGCAATGTTTTTGTGTTCGTCCCGCTCGCTCGCTCGCTCGTTCATTTCAAAGAAAAGCAAAAAAATGCAACATGTATAAATCCAAGAGAAAATGCAGACGCTCGCTCATGTTATGGTCATCAAAAAAAAAGAATTTTATCTTTCCGGCCGTCAAAGGGTGTTGTACAAAGGAGAATCATTGGACAAAGGAAATGTCTTTGAAAGGAGTGTGTGGGTAGAGATTGGAAGATGAGGCATATTGGATCTCATCGAATTTTCCAATGTTTTCTTCGTAACTCATATTTCATGCTGTTTTCGTAGGAGTCAAGGAGTCTGTGAGTCGTTGTGGCTGTGTCTTCTGTTTCTATGTGTAGAAGTATTGTAGTCATGTAAGTGTAATCTGTCGATATCGGTGTCTAGTAGGCGACAATGGTGTGTCCCCTGAGGCGGAGCGGGCTCAAGGTGTGGGCCTTGTTCAGGAGTCCGTGGACGAGCATCCTCGGTCGCGTATGATGATGAGGAGCAGAAACCGTGGTGGCCTTGCTCACAACAATGCGAGGAGCAGCGACGGTGGTGGCTGTCGCACTGGGAGCGGTGTGGGGCCGAGCCGGCGTGACGGGACGGGTGTAAGTGCCGGCCTTCTTGGCGGGAGGCCAGCGGCTGAGGATGGAGTCGTCGACAAGAGCCATGAGGCCGGTGGCGATGATGATGCTGCAGAGACCCGGGTTAGAAAATGGCCTGCAGAGAGAGCAAGGGTGAAAAGGAAAAAGAGAAAACTTACTCGGCAACGTCCGTCACGGCTTCAATGACAGACTTGTCGCAGATCCACATGTAGCACGGGGGAATCCAGTTGCCCGCCGTCTGGTCGGCCTCGACCTGGTTCGGGCTCCGGCCCTCGGGCACGATGATCGCCACCGGCTCCGTCTCCCGGTCGCGAAGCAGGTGGAAGGCAGCCTTGCCCAGGGCCTTGTCCATGACCCTGCGCCAAGCGTAGCCGTGTCCCCACCACTGGAAGTCGTACTGCTTGCCTGGGCGGCGCACAATGTCCACGCGAGCGTAGTTGCTGAACTCCAGCTTGAGCGTGTTGAGAGGGATGGGTCGCGCAGAGGGGAGCTTGGGCTCGTCCGAGTCGGATCCCGCCGCCTCCTCGGAGTAGATGGAGCCACCGCAGCCCCAAGAGTTGTTGCTGCCAATTGACGGACGACGAGGGTTGGGCGTCGTGGAGAGGGCGGCGGCCTTCTCGGCGGCGGCGCCGCTGGATCGTCGGAACGAGGTCTTGACGGATCGCAGAGCGCTGGTGACGGAGCGGGAGAGGGAGGAGGAGGAGGAGGTTGTGGCGCGCTCATGGTGGGGGTTGGCACCCTTGGAGTTGCACACCTCACGGCCAGAGTCGCGGCAGTAGCGTCGCAGGGAGAACTCCCGCTTGGCAAGGTCATGCATGCGCAGGTGGAAGAGCTGGATGGCAACGGCACGGCGACGCCGCGATGACAGGTCAGGCACAATGGCGTCGACGCGGAGGTTCATGTTCCCATCGGCCGTTCGGTCATCATGTCGGATGGACAGGCGGTCCATGGACGGGAAGAGATGCGCAAACGTCTCGGGGTCTGAGGACCGGACCGAGATCTCAGGCACCGGCATGCAGGTGTAGGGGGGCAGCGTAGACGGCGGGATGCCCGACGATGCGGCACAGTCGTCTCCCTCGGCGTCCTTCTTGTCATGCTCCGAGTCGTGGTGAGACTCTGAAGACCGATCGTCTGAGTAGGCAGAGTCATATGTGTAAACGGATGAGGATGAGTCTGAGCCGGTGTCGACGATGGAGGGCGGCAGGTCCTCCCATGTATCGCGCTCCCACGTATCCCTCGATGAGTGGCGAGAGTCATCGTAGTAAGAGCCGGACACGTAGCTGGACGTCTGATCATGCTGACGACTTGACGCATAGTAGCGGCTTGAGGCTGTGGTGGAATTCCTGCTGCGAGCCATGCTGGAGGCCGTGGTCCTACCGGCCCTCGACGCCGCACGAGCCTGTCTCCGTGTAGGGACGGCCATTGCTGATGGTTGCTGTGCGATGGAGGGAGGGAGGGGAGGGAGGAGGTGGTTGGATGTGTTAAGAGATGAGATGGATGGAGAAGATTGTTTGTTATCCGTGAGTCTTTATCCAGTTGAGATGATTGATGTCGAAACAAGTCTTATCGTTGCCGTTGATATAGGAGGACAGGTGCTTGGTATAAGTGAGGTGAGCTTGGCTCCTCTTTCTCCTTGGTGAGAGTCGGTGTCGGTTTATATCAAGAAAGCAATAACAGATTGTGACAGCGACCCAATCATGCAATTGTGCACATAAGCTGCAAGCTCTATCGAGGTTTCGGAATCTGGACGGCAAGGGACGTCATTTGAAGTGCAGAACCAATGCGTGTGTCTTTGTGTTGACAAAGCGTCCAAGTGCTGCTGCTTCCGTCTATCCAGCTGTGAGTCTCGAGTCTGGCAAGCCGTGAGATGATTCTCGCACCCGTGGTGTGATATATGTGTAAAGGCCAACCCCCTCCGTTATGTCATCTCACCTTCGGGATGCGCCAGTCACTCTTGCATCCAAGCGGATCTCTTAGGCGGCAAGCCACTCTTGAGCCTTTACTGTGTTCGGCATGCACGCCTTTGGGCCAAAGAGAGGTACAGCAAGGCAATGCAAGCACGCACGAGTAGGGGAGGCATGGAGAGACAGAGACAGAGAGAGACCAGAATGGAAGCCAGAGAGCCTGGAGAATGGCTAACGGGACGAGGGGCGTGTGAACCGGGTAGAGGCCAAGGCCCGCGGGTGGCTGTGTGGGAAGCGAATGGGAGCGGTTTGCCAGCTCGACAGCCAGCCCAATACCGGCTCGCTGGCAAATACGGGGGAGTGTGCGGCGCCGTCAAGCACAAGCAAGGAGAGAGAGAGCAGAATTTTCACTCCAGACAGCGGCCCCGAATCAAAACCCCGGCCGGTGGGCGAGCAACGGCCCAAAGAAAGGGCCTGCTTGGCCTGGGCAGAGAGACGGACGACGCCAGCGCAATGGGCCGCAGCCGCAGATAGAGGTCGAGAGTCGACAGCCGCGTGTTCAACCGTCTCAGTGGCAGACCCTGGCTCGCGCATGTCGATGGATCCCCTCCTCTACGCCGTCGGCCTCTCAGCTTCCGTCCAGCTTCTGCCTTCGCGCCTGTGTCCAATGGCAGCGCGGCTGCACGATGCAGGAGCTTAGAGCCTTGGGTCTTGGGCCTCAGAGACCTGCAACTGCTGGAAAGGCCTGTGTGTACTTGTAGTACCGCATGTACAATGTAGTAGTGGTAGGTACTAGTATTCGACTTCCGCCAGGGACGTCCTGCTCCGGACATGGCATGTCTGCATCCCAGGCTGCCCCGGCCGAGTTTGAGTGCATGTTTCCCCCTCTTACATGCCGCTCAGAGAGAGCATCCCAGAGCGCTTGTATCGGCGCATCGCAAAGAAAGAAACGAGAGACGCTGCTCCATAGATGGATCCCTGCGGCTGGGGTAAGAGCCTCTCTTTGCCCGCGCAGATTCCATCCCCTGTTGCCGCCATGGGCCACCACCTCGAGATGCGTCCACAGCGTTCTGACACATATGAGATCGATGACACCATAGTGCTCCGCCGATGTTGGTTGTAGCAGGTAGCACCTTGTAGTATCATGTATGCGAGGCGTCAGCAGCAATATGCTATGCCCAGAGTGATTTTCATCCATGCTCCTCATCAATTCTGCGTGCAATTTTCTTCCTTCTCAGTGTTTCCCCATGCCAGCTCTGCTCGCCCGATGTCCCTGTACTGTAGCATTGCTGCTGTCGTTTCCGACTGTGCCCGGTTCGCCAGTAACGATACCTGGTAAAAGACCCCCATGGCCGGGCCAAGATCCCGGTTCGCTTCCCGCTCTGCTACGTGGCCGGCAACAGACCACGATGGAGATGGAGAGGGCTTCACATACCAAGCCTCCGGGATTTCGCAAATGTCGTACTTCTCTCACTTGTCGCATACGCTAGTCTTTGCGTAGCTGGTGGATGATGGATGATGGAGGCAATGAGGAAACAAAGGAGAAGTCGCAGCGATGATTTTGTTCGTTTTCGGCCATGTACTTGCGCAGCTCCTGGGTGCTCACCGTCGGCCAACCCCATATGGATGCTGGATGACCTTGTTGACAAAAAAAGACTCCATCACCAAGAATGCTCGGCCTTCACATGGCAGCGGTCCCAGCTGTAAGCCAACCGTCCCGGCCCAGTCTGAGACGCCAGGGCGGTAGGAATCAGTACAAGTATGGCGTGGCTTGCGCCGCAACAAACAGCACACGAGACAGCGCCAGAAAAGTCACACGTCTTCCGCCAGCCTCCTGGGCTGGGGAACGGGTGCGCCGCCTCACTGGAAATAGCACTGACAGCAGCTGATTTTCGTGCTCTGTCCAGGCAGAACTACACCACACTTGGTAAGGAGCGCCCGTCTGGCCGTGTCAATCTCTTGTCAATCTCTCCACGCTCTCTCCCTCTCCCTCTTGATGACAGAGACTGTTCTCTTCTCTTCCCCTGGACCACACGGCCTTGGCGCTGGATCTTGGGTGGCACCAGCCGTGAACAAGTCACCGCCGGAGCGCCGCTCTAAACCCAGGCTGGCCGCTGCCGAATGCGCTGGCAGGCTGATTGGACGACAGCCTAAAGGATAAGAAGCTGGCCGTTGACACATCAGCAACGTGTGGCTGCAGCTAGATGAAAGGAGCGAACAGCAAATCCGCATCGGCACGATCGATGGGGCGCCCCATGGCTGCCCAACTCCAGGCAAAGGCAGAGACCACTCGCTCGCTTGAGCGTGTCTCTCTCGGAAAATAGCACCGGGGCGGGGGATTCGATTCGACATGTGCGTTACTATTCCTCCCGTGCTGGTCTCGGTTTGTTGTCTCCTCCTCATTCATCGCTCAAGTGAACGGATGACACGCACGAGGCCCAACCATGCAGATTTGCACTGTGGTCTAGATGCGTGCATTGCGGCTGCATAATCATAATTCTTCGACCTGACGAGGCAGCGTGTCATTGGCCTGCCTGCTCGGGAAGAAGACGAGGGAAGAAGAACACGAGCATGAGCATCCATCAGGGTAGCATTCTGTATCGCGAAATAATCACCAATGGCAGAGGGCAATTGGGAATTCCCTGATGCCGTGCAGTCGTCTGGAGTCGACATGTCCTTCAGTCCCTCAGCCTTGCCTATCACAAGCTCGCAACAGTGCTGCGATGCGCCGCTTTTCGCCTTTACCCTCTGCCGGCCTCATTCGCCCGTCATTCTGTACAAATAATCAGTCGATGGAGCAGCTGCACAGAGCAGAGGCGAGATGCAGGTATTCCCAATGCTGATTTCTCCCTCGTCAATTATCGTACAATGAGCGGAAATGCAACGGCGAGAGAGGCGTGAATACGACGAGCTCCAGCTCCAGGCCGTTGCCACCAGCAGCACATTATCCAGGTGAATATCCAGTTGGCTCGATAAGAATAGCGATCGTTGCATCAATAGCCTATGCTTGCCATGGTGCCAGCGTGGTGTGTGTCGGCCAGCCATTCGTCCACTCCACGCCACTCGCGAGTCGTGCCGGCAGCACGATGTGACGACCTTGCTGTGACCATCCGGGCAGCAGCAGCAGTGCCGCGGGCTGAGAGTGTCAATCACGGGCTGAGCGAGGCAGAGGCCGAAGTGGCCACCGCGTGATGCCGCATCGTCAGGGCATATCGAGATCTGAGATTTGGCACTCAATTCCGGCGGCTGATCCGGCAATGGCCTGCTTCCTCATCATGATGCTCATCCTCTGTCTTCGTCTTCCCATTCTGCTCTTGTTCCATCTGACACTCTCACCGCGATTTGCCACCATGGCGCCGAGCAGACGTCTCTCATCAGCCGAGCTCTGATACTGGATAGAGCGCATGTGGGGGAGAGAGGCTTCAAAGGCCAACCACAAACGCACCCCGCATAATTACATGTTGCACTGCAGGGAGGGGAAAGACAGATGACCTCGAGATAATGCCGTTTATCGAGTCGTTTAAACGGGGGACAGCGTGCGACTCGGACGACGGCGACATGTGCGCAGGCGTGCAAGTGCGTGCAAGTGGCTGTATCTCCTGTCCGGAGAACAGCAAGTGATACAGCATGCGCACCACATCATGGCGCATCTGGCGAGAGATGCAGTGAGAGCAATTGACTGCAATTGCTAAGGTATGAAGCAGGCGAGAAGTGAGAGAGTGAGAGAGAGAGGCGGAGAAGCAGAGAGAAGGCATTTTGTGCAGATGCACGAGACAGAATCAGGAGACGAAGCAATATGCAGTGCGTCGTGCTTGCAGTTTCCGGGTGTCAACGAGCTGCTGCCATGCCCAACCGTTATCGATAGCCCCGTCAGCCTCGGTTACTCGAGGGTCAGTCAATCGAGGCCATCGTCATGTTCTCTTGTCTCCTGTATGGAGTACCTGAGGCAACGATGCTGCTGCTGTGTATCTGCAGGTACAGCAGCAGCAGCAAGTACAACTACACCATCGCGAGTCGAGAGAGGCAGGGAGAGGGCACGAGTACTCGATGGGCAAGGAGTGCGAGGTATGCCATGGTAGCATCCGCCAGCCCTCTGCTAGTACTGTACTCTAATTACTCCCTTGACTACCTTAGGTAGATACCCATCACTGACGTTTCCTCTGTTCCATCAGGCCTTCTAGAAGATGGAACCCCCATCCAACGTTTCCTCGATTACGGAGCTCGGACCGCTGCTCAGATGGCGGCTCCGGCAGCCCGGACATGGAACGCTGCTCAACATTGTCCAGACCCAGACACGACTCGGAGCATGTGAGAGGTGAGAGACCAAGGGCAGAGTGCTCCGGACGACGACGCCCTCGTACAGCCATCCATGCATGTGGGCGACATGATATGCCGCTATTCGGATAGCCGCATGTTCTGTTGCCTCCTCGCTGCCTCTGCCTGTGTGTCTCAGCAATCCCCCGTCCATGCGGTGCCCGTGCTTGTGCCACCACCTCGTCCAGCGTCCGCGTGCTCACTCTGCCGGCTTGCATCAGCCTCCATCAACGCTTCTCTTCTCTATCTGAGCAGGCGACCATGCCGGCCAAACACGCACCGCCTCGCCATTGGCCCGAATCCCACGCTATTTTCAGGAACCGACGCCATCGCGAGACCCGATTCGCCGCTTCAGCCCCGGAACAACATTCCCCCCTGCCCGCCACCACCAGATCCCTACACCGTCTAATGGCCTCTCACGTCCTCCTGCTCACGACTCCCCCGCTATCGGCCGCGATACTCCACGATGCTCCACGATGCTCCACGATTCGGAGGCCCGAGGCCCAAGCCATTCTCGAAGGCCAGATGCCATTAGTCGGCTCCCTTACTTGGACCCCCTCCTCGCATCGCTCTTCTCCCGTTTTGCCGCAGGGTCGAGCCATTCCATCCCTTTGGTCTGACGCACCTTCTATCGCCCAACCAACTTTCCCTCCAATAACCACGGCTCAAGTCCAGACACGCTGTGCAACTAGTCCTCCGTGCTACTGCTGCTACTAGCTCTAAGCGAACCGTCTCCGCTCCGCTCCGTCTAACCCTGCTCCGAAACATGACGGCCGAGGCCATCTCCGGGTCCGGCTCTGGGCCCGCATCCGGCTCGTCCCAGCCTCTCCGGCTGGTCATCCTCGAGGCCGACACGCCGCAGCCAAACACAAAGGCCAAGTATGGCGGCTTCAGCGGCGTCTTCACCGCGCTGTTGACGGCGGGGGCGGAGGCCATGGATCCGCCGCGCCAGCTGTCCGAGGTGGCCACGGTCACGGCGCACAACATTGTCGACGACATGGACTCGTACCCGCCGCTGGACGAGGTCGACGCCATTCTCATCACCGGCTCGCGTCACACGGCATACGAGGACGACCCCTGGATTCTCAAGCTGGTGGAGTACACCAGGCAGGCCATTGACACCGGCCGCATCAGAGTCGTGGGCGTGTGCTTTGGCCACCAAATCATTGGCAGGGCCATGGGCGCGCGCCTCGGCAGGAGTGATAAGGGCTGGGAGGTTGCCGTCACCGAGGTTGACCTGACCGACAAGGGCAAGGACATTTTCAAGCTCGACAAGATGGTGAGTCTCTCGCAGTTCTCAGTTCTCAGTTCTCAATTTTTTCGACTCTCATCTCATCCTTTGTTCCGAAATTGCTTGCGCTGACGTAAATTATCTCATGCAGCGCATCCATCAAATGCACCGTGATGTTGTTCTAGAATTCCCCAAGGATTCCATCCCTCTCGGCGGCAATGACATGTGCCCAGTCCAAGCCATGTACAGCCCTGGTCGGTACATCTCCGTCCAGGGCCACCCCGAGTTCACCGGAGAAATCATCTCCGAGATCCTCACCAACCGACACAAAGCCGGCATCTTTGCCGACGATGTCTACAACGAGGCCATGAAGCGCGCGCCTAACGATCACGACGGTGTTGTCATTGCAAAGGCCTTTCTCAACTTTATGAAGCACGGTTAAAGCGCCTTGACGAAGCAGGGTACCTCGAGATGAGGAAGATGAGATCCAAAGGCACGCTTATGCCAGGGCTAGTGCAACGGCTTAATGTCCATATTCATGGGAGTGGTTAGAATCAGGGCTGGCAAGGTTATGTCAAAGGTACTTGTTATGCACTTTCTTTGCTTGCAGTAGTTTATAGACGAATCACATTTGCCAAAGTGCGGTGAGATCTGACCTGCAGTTGAGAGTCGAGAGCAGTCTCGTTCACACGTCCACGTCCAATCCCCGGAATCTTCCATGTGGTGGTTGCATATTCCAAGGCAGAGCCGCATCGGCCTCACACAGAGAGCCAGCATAAACAAGACATGCACATGCCTGATTGGGAGCTGGGAACTCTAAATTACAGTGAAAACGATTGGCATAGTGCAGTTCGAGCAGCCCATTCTACAACTACCGCCAAGAGACTTGAGATGTTGATCTTTTCAGAGGGCATTGATCACAAGGGCAGGTTCCGCCAACGTTCGAATGATTCAGGGTCCGAGTTCTGTCTTCATGACGAGACGCAGATGCCGATCAAGTCCCATCTCACCGCCACGGCCGCTTCTGGGACGATCAGGTTGGAGATACAGTCACATGCCACTTTGACTGACGCTGAGTTGACAAGCGATACTGAAACAAAGACGCATCCAGACTTCTCTAACGTACTCTGTTATTATGAGAACCCAGGCCGAATTGTTTAGTCTACAGGAGAGAACAAGATGGCGGCATGTCATGGGATCTAAAGAGGGTTGACTGCTTGTCATGACGAGTTTAAGGGTGACTGGCTCTTTCAACCAAGCATTACATGCTGACGAGCAAGCGCTTTACTGCGGGAAATTTTGAGCACAAAGGTGGAAAAGGGGCATTCTGTACATGATATAAATCGTTTTTTTTTTTCTTCTTTAACCCATATGATCAACTTAGAAAATGACTTGATCTCGCTATGTTCTAGTCTAGGGTAGATGCAGGATCTCGGCGGTTCTGCTTGAAACTCAACGCATTCTCACCAGACAAACATGTCCAAGGGCCCATACTATAATTTGCATTCCTCTTGCTCCTTGTAGTTGTCTCGTATCATGAGAACTATACGGCAAGCTCTTAATACCATCGAACGCCAGGCTGGGGTAACTTGCCCCGACACGGATTCCTGCTGTACCTAATATGATCTTCAGGATACTTCTACTGTGGATAATGATTACTGAGCTGCTACCCAATTCGCGCAACCTTGAAGTCGTTCAATGCTGTTGATCTAGTTGAGACTCGTTTTTGGCTTGTCCCTTGGTTTACATTTCGTCCTTCTACAATGGGGCAGTAGGCTCTTCAACCGCGCACGACATGGGCGACCATAAGTCTACGGAACATGAAGCCCTAGAATCCATGTTGCGCAAGAAATGATGGCACATTTCGAGTATGCCTCCCATTTGCTTGGGCTGTGTGGCAGGCAGCCCTGAGACGTCGCGACAAGGTGGATGGAACCAGTGGGTATCAGGTCTCTCAACATCATGTAGGAATATCGAGCACGCCCTTCCCAGATCCAGCATATGGAAGTCCGCCCTCTGCTGTAATACTATCATGTAAGTATGCACAAATGAGACCTTTTCTCGAATGATGAGTGCTTCGGAGGAACATGTATTCGTAGAGCCGCCTTTGGCAGCCGCTTCAATCTTACACGGAGCGAACCTCTTGATTAAGCACATTCAAGATCATGGCCAAGAGGCATCCTACCTCGGAGACGGGGATCAGTCTGGAGAAGTTACCATATAGTGTACCTAGGAGGGATTGCTAGCGGGTGATGAGGCTTTGATAGTCTTCATCGGGGTGAAAAGAGAAGGTGAAATTCGACCAATAGTGGTGAGTTCGTCATGGGTGACTATAAGAAGAATAATCGCCGCCATCCTCAAAGCACTCCAAGTGGCAACTCGGGAGTCGTTGATACTCTGATACACTGAATCCTACCTCACGTCTGAGGCAGAGTCATTGATTCCAGCAGGGGGTTACATGAGGCTATGTCCACGATGCTGATGCCTGAAATAGTCGGTATTCGTGGCCAAGCAGCTCATTCGGTCGTCATCTTTGCAAATCCTGAACAGCGAGTATATACAAGCACATCCGTATGCCATTGCCGAGATATCATACGTTACGCTTGCAAAATATATCTACTATAAGCGTCAGCTTGACTATAGATCATATAAATAACTCTCAAATGGTACACATCAGGAAAGCGCACAGGTACAACGACGTACCAATAGCGTGTTATTCAATGCGCAGCATGTCCTGTAACCACGCCTTCTGCCATGTGCAGGCATGGGGTTTGAGATGACATCCCTGTGCTTACCAGGCATTACCCCTGTCTCAGATCGAACGGTTGCCTGGAACCGAAACAAGCCCTACGACGAACCCAAAAGCACAAAAAAGTGTCTTGCGTTCTCGTTTGTCAGCTCTTTGAGTGCCTTTTTGTTTCCTTCTAGAAGGAGTTTCTGCTTCAAGAAACATGTCTGAGTATCTCTCCTTGGCCGCATCATCTCCTGCGAGCCATGTCAAAGCTTTTTCTCTTGAACCTCTGTCAAACTGCCCCAGAATCAGCTGATGTAGATCATCATGTTAGATGTAAAACAGCAGAGTACTCAACTTCTTCTTTAGGCAATCTCGACAAGCCTAGAGCCCTCGGTGGTAATCCGCTTCTTTCAAGCTCCACTGAGCACTAAACACCAAAGCAGAAGCTCCAAGATCTCAGCGAGGGTTTTGGCCGAGCAAAATCTTCTGAAACCACGAGGAGGATGCCGGCAAGGCCGTGATGGCAAGGCTAGAAGGAGGACATGCCTTGGACTATACGGGAAAGTTGACAAGGAGACGATGCGATCAAGATTTGTATATAAGCGAGTGGCCGTGTCTGCTCCTATCCGATTTCATTCATCACTCATTGCATCACGATAACCACAATCGCAACAACAAGAACAAACTCCAATACAAACCTTCACCATGCAGTTCTCTCTCGCCATTGCCGCCTCCGTGCTGGCCCTGACTGCCTCCGCGGCTCCCACCGTCCAGACGCGCGACATCGCCTCTGGCACCGACCAGAACGGCTCCATCTTCATGTTCGGCGACCCAGCCGGCCCCCGCCAGATCCTCTACCAGTCCGGCGCCTGCGGCCTCAGCACCTACTTCGCCAACCAGGTCGACCCCAGCATGCCCCTGGTCGCCATGCCCGCCAGCGTCTTTGACCAGTTCGGCGCCGCCCAGAACAACGCCCTCTGCGCAAAGGTCATCACCATGACCAACAACGGCGTCACCCGCCAGGCCGTCGTTGCGGACCGCAACCTCAGCGTCGACAACTCCATCGACATGACTCTTGACCTGTGGGAGGCTTTCGGCGGACACGACAACGACGGAACCCTGATCCCTGGCTTCGACTGGTCTATCAACTAAAGGGGGGAGTTGAAGTGGTAGCTTTGTGGTCATAGCGGACTGCGACTTGTATACATTTCCTATCATGTCCTGATGTACATAACCATAGTTGTAGAATCCCCCGCCGGACGGGAACAGTTATCTTGCATGAACCTGTGGGTGGGCAAGTATAGACGAAGAGTAGGATCTGATAATGTTTGTATAGTATATGTTCCATATAAACAATGTTCATAAAGAGAGTGCGGCTTGTGAGGGCACCGGAGATATAAAGGTCCCTATAGCGAGCATTTAGCATGAATCCTCAACCAATAAGTATTTGTCCATATGTACTCACTGTGGTCAAGCAATCGTCAGGCGTGAAACTGGAGGACGCTGCATCAGGCATGATGTCACAATCCCGGATAGCATCGACAATTGTCTTGGATTTCTCTCTGCCTGTAGGTTCATTTAACAAAAGAAAAGGAGGCAGAGAGATAACCTGAAGGCTACCTACTCTGCAAAGTTGCCTCTCAAATCCGTTCGCAGGTGACTCGGCCAGGAGCGCGTAGAAACCCGCCCATTCGAGCCGCAACTTTCCACTTCCACTCGCTCTGTTGCTGTCGCTGCCTCTCAACCTTCATGTTCCCTGCTGTGTTTCTTTTCAGCCCTCGTCCAGAGCACTACCTAAGTACCTTGAGGTATACCGCTTGAGTGTCCAGGTACATTGATGCAAGGCAGTGCTGGTATCACCCCAGGTACTGTACCTACATGTAAGTTCGCAGCCCTAAACTCTGATTCACTGCCCGCTTCCACATGCTACATCCTTAATTCTTGGCTTAATTCTCGGACTGGAAACAGATATAAACTTGGGCTCCCTCGAGCAAAATGGCATCGACTGAAACGCACGACAACAACCTCGTCTCGCCTGCGAAACGGAAGCCTCGCCGAAGCACGTCAGCTGATGCATGTGAGCAACGATCGCACGTCTAGAGGACGACGACAAACACTCGCTCAATTGCCACAAGCCCAACAAAGCGCCGCTTGCAAGCAAGGTCTGTAGATTTGAAGATGCAGGCAATGCCTCCAGGTGCCGAGGAGCAGGAGCTCTACTACTATGGGCTCCCGTCCTGTCCAAAGCTCGTTGCTCGCACGAGCAGCAATGTCTGGGTGAATCCGCAGATGCCTGGGCCTACCACTTTTACAGGCACTCTGAACATGTATCGGAAAATGCTCCGACCCGCTGGAAGGCACCCTCTGCTCAACCAGCTTTGGAACGATGCGACCTCTTCTCTGAGGGTCCAGATCACGGACGCGGTCAGCGACATCGATTGGCATGCCATTGACATCCTGCGGGTTGGTTATGTTCACGAACAATCTCCCATCACGCTCATGGTGGCTGTTACGCCAGACACTGTTTCCTGGAACCAAGCGTATCCTGTTGCAGTGCGATGCAAGTCTATTCTGGAGCAGCACGGTATCCATGGCATCGAGTGCGAAGTTCGCGAGTCCGTTGTTGCCTTTCTCACCGAGCCTGATGAGAAAAAAGCAACCTTCCAGCTCTCATCAAAGTTTCCAGAACTATTTACAGCTGAACATGAAGATGGAGTAGAGCACGCTCAGCTCACCGACCACCTTGGAACTCGAATTGCGATCAAAGATATGCCTAACCATGTCGGAACTAAAGGCATCTACCTCTCGCTTCCCCCTTCTTCCCCCGAGGGCAGACCTAGGCTTGTGGCACTGACCTGTCGCCACGTCGTCATCCATTCCAAAACACAGGGCGTGGAGGCATACCGTCGCCCGGAGTTTGGCCCCTTCAAAGACATTATCCAGGTCGACCAACATACATTCGAGAGCAGGTTAAAGGGATATGAAGCTCGAACTGCAGATGAGACAAAGAAAGGCAGCAGCGCCCTGCTCCTTAGAGACACCATGAGACCTTTCACAGCTGCTTCGTCAAGAGTGATTGGCGAGGTCCTCTATTCGCCTGAGTTTTCATGCACCACTACTGAAGGTGGCCGCGAGTGGCTCAGAGACTGGGCCTTGGTCGAGTTGCAGCCTGCCAGCCACGAAGCTCCGCTAGATTCTATCAAGAACAGAATATTCATTGGATCAAGGCAACAACTCCGGTTTCTTATCAACAAGGGCGAGCCTGGATGGAAAGGACTTGCAGATCCAGTACCCCCAGACATGGATGATGGATGCTTTAACCTCTCGAAAGAAGTCGTTCCTTACGAAGAACTTTTCAACCCTCCCGGTACTGCTGCCTACATGGACGAGCCGGCAATATGCGTGGCCAAGTTTGGCGCAACAAGTAACTTGACCATGGGTCTTGGCAACACCCTCAAGTCGGTTGTTCGCACTACTACGGAAACTCCAGATGGAGAAAGAAAGAACGTAAGCGAAGAATGGCCAATCATTTCAGTTCCCAGAGCAAGGGACCGCAGTGCAACTTTTTGCGAACCTGGCGATTCCGGTTCATGCGTCTGGGATATGGATGGGCGCCCTGCTGGTATCATAATGGCAGGAAATGGTATAAACCGCATCAACGATGTCACATATGCATCGCCATTAGAGCGCCTGCTTGCGGATATCAAATCCCATGGCTTTGATGTCTCTCTTGTCTAAGGGATGAAGGTCTTGGGAACAGCGGGAATAGGTCCTCCGAAGCGAGCAAAACTGGATGGAAAAAAGATCCCGAAAAGGGTTACTCATGAGCCAAGATCAACCAAGAAGCTATTGAGTTGTTGCAGCAGGGTCAGGATACAAACCTGGAGAAAATGTGCGAGGCTATCGCAAGGGAACAATCAGGCTCTATGTGTCTTACAGAGCGAGTTGCGGCAGTTTATGTCGGCGGTTGCGACAAGACTACGAGACATACAGGACCGTTTGGACGAGAAATGGTAGTTTGCCGAGCTGTGGCGGAGATATTGGGAGCTGAGATGCGTTGAGCGTATGAAGGAGATCGGGGGGGCTACCTACCTTATGTCATTATATGTTGACTTATAGTAGAGAGTGAGAGGAACGCACATGTTCAGCTAGCTCTCTACCCACATGCAGTAATTATCACACATAATACAAAGGGAAGTATACGTATTTGGAATTGGCTCTGCTTCTGCTTCTGCTTCCTATCGTGTGATTGCATGGGGGGTGATATCCTGATTACGGTCCGAGTTTCGCAAGATGCTGTTGGTGCATCACTTCTTCACGATGACCCCTGACAGGCTTCACACGGGGGTTTGCAGGGATTATTTCTGATGTAGAAAGCCTTGTGAATCGCACAAAGATATTGCAGCAACTCATCTCGACTTCTCCTTTGTTTTCAACCACCAGCCTTTACTTCAACGCATCACGTATTCACCTCTTCAAGTCCTGTCTTCTCACAGGAAGCGTCATCCAGACACCCGTGACAGCCAAGCTCAGCAGGGTAGCATTCTCATTCAACTTCAGGGGCGAGCCAAGAGAAATGAGCTCTCTGCAACGGAGCGACCAACATGCAGACACCTCGTGTGCTGTGGCCGGCCAACGAAGCCCAGCAGCCAACCAACATGTGCATCTCGTCGGTCACTACATCCCATCCTCTGCAAGCCTCACCGCATCCTCTTGCCCTCACCAACACGTCCAAACCTTGTTTTCCTCACGAATCAGTTCTATCCCACCAACACGAGCCACTTGCTCTCCGGGGACACACAGGAAGGAAAGGACCGTTGTCTCTTCTTATATCTCCAGTAGTTGGGTATGACAAGGGGGGTCAGTTTGTCTGACGGGACTCGGCCAAAAGAACTTCTCGCGCAAACCAACATACTGTCGTATTATCGCCCAGCTTCGCACATGGGGTGGGAAGGACACGCACATCGCATAACATGCACACGGAGAAGTGTGATTTTCTGCTTTCGGGCAATCAGTTGGAGCAGTATCGGGCATGGCGGGAGATTATCCGGAATGAGGATCTTAAAAGGTGTTGCCCCCCTCGGTTGGGAGTGACGGGTGTTGGCGGAAGACCGCATGACAGGACTTGACAAGAGAAGGAGAGGAAGACGCTCAATATCCGCTTCTACCTGTTGACGAGAGAAACTGGAAAAAGGACAGGAGAGAAGCGGCATTTGTCTTCCCATCCGTCCCGTTTCGACAAACACGGTTCTGTGCTCCGGACCTCTCGCTTGTGCTCTGCTGAAAGGGCGTCACTGATCTCCTGAGCCGGACGGGGTTATGAGAAGAGGGAAGTGTATGTTTACCTGGCCTGACTGCTGCTGCTTCCCAAACTCAGACATTTCAGCATCGGCATTCACACATCAAACGACATAGTCGATCTGTCGTCGTCTGCCGGTAATTCTGCTCTCTTATCCGAAGATTGCAGGGTTAATCTTGATCAAACAGCTCCCGAGCAATATCGACCTCCTGGCAAGCAAGGCCACAAACGCAGAGCCACGCGCAAGCAGAAGCATCATGGGCGACCCAATCGTCAATCTCGGCCTCTCGTGCCCCAAGGGCGGCCGCTTCTACATCTGCGAAGACCAGCCAGCTCGCTTCATGGGCTGCTGCACCAGCGACCCGTGCACCACCGCCGACGGCCTCTGCCCGGACGACGAGCTCCGGCCGGGGTCCTTCAGCTCCGACGCCTACAGCAAGATCCTGGCGCAGGACTGCCTGGACCCGGGCTTCCTCTGGTACACGTGCCGCGACTCGTCGCCGCCGTTCCTGGGCTGCTGCTCGCAGAATGCGTGCGAGTCTACGGGATGCCCGGTGAGCAAGGTCGGAGCGGCCACTCTGGCGGGGAACAAACAACGGGCAGCCCCCTTTCTGTCTGGCGGCGCATCTGCTTCCTCCGGGGGATCATCTTCATCGGCGGCGAAGACGACGAGCAGTGCCTCGGCTCCCTCGACGACGTTGAGCACGGTCCTGAGCACCGCCGCTGCGAGCACGACCGGGGACGCCCCCCCAAAGGACAGCACTCAGCCTGATGCCGTGTCACCTCCAGCGCATCCGGGGCTCAGCAAGGGCGCCATCGCAGGCATCGCAGTGGGAGCCATAGTGGCGGTATGCGCGTTCGCCTTTCTGTTCTTCTGGTTGTTTAAGCAGCACAAGAAGCGGAGCTCAACCAACATGGCTCCTGCGGATGGCGGCAGTGGCCGGAAGGACGAATACGGGGGCGAGGATTCGCTGGCCGAGCAGCATCGCGACGGCACGCTGCTGGGCGTGGGAGCCACGAGAGGGGGAGCAGGGCAGATTCCGCAGGCAGAGCCTTCGCCGGGGCTCGATTCGGTCATTTCGGAGCTCCCTGCCTCGCCGTCGCAGCATAGCATCACGTCGGGAGCCACGCCGGGCAGGCCGATTGTGTCCATGGTGAGCGCCAGCGGCGCGACGGGCAGGGAGAGCGACGCTTCCGGCTATACCGCGAAGGAGCACTCGCCATTGATACACCAGACGCTATTTGAGCTCGAGGACTCGTCGATCCGGGAGAGGTAGCATAGAAGAGGTTATACTCGTACGGGTTGTGGTTCACGATCCAATGTCCGAAGCGCTGCACACGACGGATTGCAATGGCATTTTCTCCTCTTTCTGTTTTGTACGACTTCCGTGCATCTATCTTTTTCTACTCTTCTGGTTTTGCGCTTCCTGTACGAAGATGACTCGTGTACTCGTACGGAGAGGTGCGTGTATACTGTGGCAAAAGGGGGGGGGGTCTGTTTCGGTCTGGTGTTGACGGGCTGTGGCTGACGGCTGTTTCGGGATACGAGCGACGGGGCTTACGATAGTGTCTCGATGGACCGAGTTTGAAACACTGTTTTCGTTTTTCCTTTTCCTTGTTCTTGTCTTCTATCGTCAACTCTTGTGCTTCTTTTCGTCTTCCCTTGACAGCTTCTACTTGATCTACTACTTCATGTTCAGCTGCATTATGCAAACCCCCTTCCTTGTCTCTTGTTCCAGCCCAACTCCCCCCCGTGTGTACTGTAGTAGTCCATCGCAGCCTTCGACTCCATAATTCCGTAGGCACCTTCGAAATTGCAAGTCTCACAAGGAAAGGGAATGCGCCTCATTCCACGGGCGGCTTGCGCGTACGTACAGTATGGACGCCGCATGTATCTATTGTACCACCAATCTTCAGTTTCTTCTTCCCAGGGAACCTTATCACGGCCCAATCAGAGCAACACTTGACCAGAAGCCGTTACGAGAGACACGGCAGCTCTGGGGGGGGGGAAGAAGCAAATGGGAGGCCGAGAATTCACACCAAAAAGAGAGTGAAGCAGAGAGAGAGAGACAGAGGAGAAGAGGATTATGCTTTGGAGCCGCTCCAACGCCTCACCTGTTCGTCCCAGCCTTCGGTGACGCCTCGCCATTAGCCAGATTTTCAGCCGCCATTCTTTTCTCTTCTGAGAGGCTTCTCCCGACTTTTGCTGCTGCTTGGGCTGACAGCTTTCTTCTCTTTTCGAGGGGAGGAGGAAAAGCAATTGAGCGGATCCATCCGTCCTTGTTGCACCATCTTGTTTTTTTCCCTTCTTCTGGTTTCCTAATTTTTCCCTTTCTTGCAACTCGCTTTCCGGGGCGGCGGGTCATACCAACGTCATGATTCCATCCGCGAAACTTGGCTCTTATTTTCCCTTCTTCCTTGGTTTCCTTTCAGCCTTTGTACGGAAGTACGTACTTGGTATAGACCATCTTACGCCCCCTCTCTGCATGTAGAAGGGCAGAGAATAGGAATAGTAACAAGAATAACACGAAAACAAACAAAGGACCAACGGCCAAGGAATAAAAAAGGGCCAAAGCCACGGGGAAGCTCAGGGTTTTGGTCCACCCTGAGGCGCAGCGGATTACGACATGTGAGACAGGAAGCACTGTGCAGCACAGGAGGTAGCAGGAGTAAAAGCAAAGCAAAGCAAACAACCTTGAGGCAAGCAGCTTACTGTATAGTTGTATACAGTGTCTGGAAACCCTAGGACTTGGCCCCTGCTCCGTATTTTTCTTCTGTGTTCTATTTATTGCCTGTTTCTGTTATGTTATGATTTATGCTCGTTTGCTTTGCACAGGGCAAGATCGACGAGGCGATGCCAGATATACGAGGCGAAGGCTCGCCATCTATTCAAGCTATTCTTCCAACCATCGTGCCATTTTGCCGTAGCATTTGCATGCCAACAACACCCCTGGCTGCCCAGCTTTGGCACTATGAATTGCCTAATCTGGATCCAACGTCACAGAGTGTTGACGCAATTCCGTGATCAGAAAGACGAAAGCAGCTGCTTCTCTTCGAAAAGCCTCGACGAAGACGAAAACAGAAACCAGCAAGGGGGGAGGGGGAGAAGAAAATAAAATCCATGAATCCAATTAGGTAGATTACATTCGCAACACACCAAAAAAGGCTCTGCATCGCAAAGAAAGAGAATTCGATTCTCCCTCCGATCGCCGGCAATTGTGCCATCTCATCTGCTGCAAGCATCATCATCCTCTCAACTCTTGGTTCTGTGAATGGCTGCAAACGCCCGCAGAGCCGGGATGCCGAGGATACGTCACCATTACCGTGCCATGTCTCCTCTCCGCGTAACGCCCAGCGCCGATCGGTTGCAAGCCACCGGGAATAATCCCTGCAAGAGAGACGAGGCGGGCTGCTGTTCGCTGCCAAGCTGCCTGCTGCATGGGGGAGCTGGGTGAGCAGAAGGCACAAAGCGTCGTGGTTGTGTGGGCAGAGAGTGGACTCGGGGGCTTGAATGGGAGGCATGTTCTCTTCTGCCACGGCGTACAAGTTACGGGGACTCAGGACTGTACGGTCATACTGTATGTACGGGCCATCCCCAGCCTCTTTGCCTCTTCCTCCCCCCCTAGCTCGGGCAAAAAGGACGTGTGGATGCAAAGTATCTCGTCTCAGTCATCTGCCCCGGAGAGTACTTCGGTGCCCCGTTCGTTCCCCGTGGGCAAAAGGTACGCCGGCTCGGTCTGGCTACGTCAACACACTGTGTGTGCTTCGTGTGAAGCCGTGGTGTGTGTCTCGTCTCTCCTCTCTCTCTCCTGCTTTCTGCTCTCATCGCCCCCCCGTGGATCCACGCCAGCTGTGGCTGTTGCATGATTTTCCTTGTTGCGGACGGACAAGGGAGGGCGAGGTAGCCAGAGGAAGCTGGCCGGTTTAAAGGGCTGGTGCTCTCCCTCCATCTTGATCCATTACATCTTCTCTTGTTCACTCACCCCCTTTGCTCACCAGGAGAAGCAACATATATACCCCCATATATAAACCACCCAAGTCCACCCGCTCGCCAAGCGTCTGACTTACACTCCTCTTTGTCTCTCACTCTTCTCGCTCTCTTCTCTCCAACAAAAGCAACAAAAAGCCAAAAACCCCACACAATCGTTCCCATCACAATGAAGGCCCAAACCCTCGCTGTCGTTGCCCTTGGCCTCTTCGCCGGAGAGTCACTCGGCCAGTCCGTGCCGCCCATCGTGTCGTCCGTGTCGGCCGAGATCTCGTCCGCCATCGCCTCGGGCAGCGCCATTGCCTCGAGCGTGGCCTCGCAGGCCTCGTCCGTGGCCAGCAGCATCGAGAGCGCGGCCTCGTCGGTCGCCTCCAGCGTGACCGGCAGCAGCACCACCGGCACCGGCGCCAGCACCACCACCAGCTCCGCGACGACGCTGACGACGACGGTGCCCGTCAGCACCACCGTCACCTCGGTCGAGTCGGGCACCACCGAGCCGGCCACCACCATCCCCGGCACCACCAACAGCCAGACCACCCGGGCTGCCACCACCATCCCCGGAACCACCATCTCTCCCACCACCCGCGTCTTCACCACCACCTCTGCCTCCACCTCCACCTCCACCGGCCTGGCCATCGCCCCTACTGCTGATGCCAAGCTGCTGGCCCCCATCCTGGGTGCTGCCGCCGCCGTCCTGATGCTGTAAACAGCCAGCATGCACGCCGCAATAATGGATGGAGTTTGTCTGATATCAACCCACTAATACTCCTTCTTTTCTGTCCTTAACGTTTTACATATCCGAGGGATTGAGAGGAATTTGATGTGGAATGAGAGTGATGATGAAGAGGAAAAGGGGGGGAGTAGGTTTTCGCCAGATTATTCGAGAAAGAACAGAAAAAAAGAGAAAATCTACGCAATACACGGGACCTACCTACTAATTAATATTGTGCTTGTCTTGCCAACCGGACGACAACACGACGGCGTTAGTTTTTGTCTTTTTTTTAATTCATCTTAATTGTCTAGTCTGGTGTGTTTCTCTTTTGTGGAAGATGTGAGGTGAAAAGTAATGGCAGTGGTTCGAGTGAGGTGTTGAAAAGAATCAGCAGTCGAATTGTATGGTATTCCAATAATTCAAAAAAACCACTTTGAAAATACTGGCAATCGATCCTTTGCATAATCGTGACCTCAGCTTGCGAATTGACTTCAATTGAGTGATCAAATTGGAAGACTGAATCACATCATTGGAATTACGTAGATATGAATACACCTTGGGAGGTCTCGGAGGTGTAGCCGAGACGACAAACTCTCAAACTCCCAGTCGGTGCTGGTTCGGCGGTATTACTCCTCTTCTCGTATGGCGGAATTCCCGGGAGTGTGTGATGAGAGGTGGTGGGAAGCTTGATCAAATCTCGTCAGTTGCAGGATTTGGGAATGGAGGCATGAGGTTGGCAACTGTTGCTCCTATGTCTGCGACGAGAATGAGAAGAGCTGTCTATGAGAATACAGAGTGAAAAGAGTTGTCTGAGCAGCTATTACTCCATGCATTTATGTATGCATGGTAACGTCTTGGCAGCGCTAATCTCTGTTTGATGGAGATGCTTATATATAAGCCAACTCCTGAGCTTATTCTTCTCTCTCCTGCAGGCTGGACTCGCATATGTTGCAGGCCATTCACTTGGAAGAGCATCGTCGATTCCACTGCTTGTGAGATTGAGTAGAGGTCTGTATACAAGGTCGCCGTCTGTTGCATTGGCCAACTGCGCTTTCATTGGGTATTCTGTAGGATCTACCACTGAATTACTACCATGGAAGTCAATCCAACTTGCAGAATATTTGAGCAGAATCAGCTCCAGAGCTCATGTCTTCCTTCAGCCAGGCAAGTCTTGTGATACTTGGGATACGTGCATATTCGTGTCGGGCAAGTAGACGGCAACAGACATTCGGCAGCGTGCCTTGTACCATTCATATAAAACAGTCGGAGAAGGGCCTAGAAGAAGCCTCACGTCTATTCAGTCAGTAGTCAGTTGCGTTTTGATGAATATACGTTCGATGCAGCTTCATGCGTGCAGGTGACAGCAGCTGGCGTCAGGCAAACCAGCTGTCAAGCACCTGCCACCGCTTTCCCCTTCTCTCGCATCAGGCCTCAGGCCTCAACCCTGACTTTTGTTTTCTTCTCTTCCAAGATACTTGATTCCTTTGCCTTTGCTTCTCAACTGCCCGCCTCTCCTTCATCCGTCGCGATATCAAGCTCATCGTGATGTCCCAGATGGCTTCCACAGCCCAGGGCATTGATGATATCACCGTAAAGGACGTCACAATGAGCGAGCCTATGCCCGAAGTTGACGAGAGTGTGGCCCCGACGAAGCATCTCTTGCCAGCCGGAGTCGAAGGAGAATCGGAAGACGATGCTGGTGACGATGGCCAAGACGACGCTCCAGATGCCCCCGTCAATCCCGCCCAGCTCTCGGGCGCCCGGAAGAAGAGAAAGAAAAGTAAGAAGACGACGGCCAGCAGAGGCCCAACCGCGCTGCCAAAGAACCGCGGCAATGGATTTGAAGGTATGGCGTGTTTTCTCTGATGAACTGGAAGCGTGCCAGGAACTGAACAGAGATAGAATACTTTGCAGACCCTCCTATGATGCCCGCGGAAGCAATGCAAGAGAAGCAGGAGATATACGCTGCGTGAGTGTCACTCCACAGATCTGATGGCGGATGCAGCTAACAATATTCAACAGAGACATTCCGTTTGAAAGGTATCATCAACTGGCTCAGCAGCTCGTCCCTCGTCCTCATCCCTCCAGTAGCTAATTTGATACAACTCATTGCAGGCGAATCGAGTCGTGCATCCAGCGATTCCGCTCCCGCCGCCGCATCCAGCATCGGAGAGCCACCTACTTAAACGACTACCTCTTCCTCGGCGGCGTGGACACCAATCCAGGCGCCTACACCGGTCTCGATCAAAAGGACCTCAAGCAGCTCACGCCCGCCCAGCGTCGCGAGGCCACGGCCCGAGACGTCGTCTACGAAGGCTCTGGGGCCGGCGACCGCTTCTACGACGGCGACAAGACCAAGTGGACGGTGGACTTTGCCGGCGTGGCAGCAGGCTTCTTCTCCACGAGGCTCGTCGCTCTGACCGGTCTTCATCCTAAGCCCATGGAAGAGGCGATATCCGTCGTGGAGAATTTCCTCCGATACGTCCTCCACCACGACGTCTGCCCCGAGCACGAAGACAATGTCAAGGAGGCGTTGAACGTTTGCCAGATGGCTAGGGAGGAATGGACGGCGCTGAACACGCTGCAAACTGCGCTTCCAGGCGTCTTCAACCCAGCTGCGACTGAGCTTTTCATTCAGTTTGATCCCCACTCGTGGGATTCGTCTCGGTTCAGAGTCCCTGAGGGATTTGATGCCAAATCGGTCTTTTATTCGTCCATTGCCATGCTGGAAGACGGCAAGATGTTCGAGCACCTCGCTAGTAAAGCCGTTGAGCTCGTCAGTCAGTACGAATGCGTCCTGGAGATAACAAAAGTCCATCCCCCGACCGAGGAGGTGATTGAGCGGTTCAAGAAGCTGGCCATTACCGCAGCAGGCAACAAGACGCTTCGGCTCATGCCCCTTGGCAAGCTCACCCTCAAACCAGCCACCATCGAAGACGGATGGGTCCAGCAAGTCACCACGCATCCCCTTCAGGGCAGGGAAATTGACCTGTACTTTGAGCAAGACATCCTCGCGAGCCTCAAGCCGGGCATGAGGATGGCGCTGGAGATTGGAGATCTCGGAGCCGACATTCGCTTTGTTAAGAGTATCCAGAAGATTGTTCCTACGTTCTATACGTTCCTGCCCCAGGAGCTGATGGTGCAGTTCAAGATTCCCCAGGAAAACGACCGGCCGGCGCCATCAGTGCACAATCCTACGCTGGAAGACAACCAAGCGGTTGAGGAATAGTTGGTCCATTTCCAATTCCGTGAAACTCGAACTTTATTAAGGTTAAAGGCACGGGGGTATTACTAGGTAGTCTGGACCATCTCATCGACATCGGTAGATAGCCACCAGATATCCTCCAAACGTCTCAGAGAATGAGGAATAGAGACCAAAGATTTCATCGAATCATGTGCTATCATCTCCAACGCCGTGAAAGCTAATAAAGCTATCAATTACGACCATAGAACAACGCAGAGAGGGGGCTTCTTCTAAACAAAGAGTAGCTGAAAGGGCAAACACCACGCTCTCTACTCTCTATTCGCCCGCACTTCGCTGCAGCTCATCGCAATTCTCCATCACCGCCAAGATATCCGTATCCGTACCTGTATCAGGGTATCGTTTGACATATTCGGGCTGACGGCGGCATATGCATCTTTCGTCCTCCCTTAATCCCGCGTCTGCACCTTGTGGTCGCCAGCAACAACCTCAGCATACGAAGGCGGAACGCCCTGATGATGATCAGAGCTGCCCTCTCCCGAGTTTGCAACCCCGTGCTGCTGCGGCTGAGGCGACTGCGAGGTAGTCCCGTAGTTCATGCGGCCGTCCTGGGGCTTGGGCTGCTGGTGGTGCGGCCCCGGCGGGGTCTGGACATAGACGTACGTGACGCGGTTGTTGCCGTGGCGGCCGCTGCCGCCGTCGCGCTCGTTGGGGACGGCGTCGTACTCGTAGGGCGGCTCGGGGTACTTGGCGATGATGTACCAGGCGTGGAGGAGGCCGGGGATGAAGCCGAGGAGGCAGAGGAGGATGTTGATGAGGGAGTCTGCGCTGCAGAGGCCGCACTTGACCCAGACTGGGAAGATTGTTAGTGAGCTGTATGAGCAGCGGAGAGCCTCGATGGTTCGCATGAGAAGAGAGTTGCTATGGGACTGTGGGGTGATGGGGGTGATGATGGACGTACCGGGCAGCGGGGGGAAGAGGATGGCGAGGACGCCGAGGAAGATGTCGGCGGAACACATGATGGCTTTGGCGATGTTTGTTTGTTTGTCTGTCTGTGTGTTTGTCGCGATTCGCTTGTATCGATAGGATGAAGCTGTGAGTAGTTGTAAGTGGTTGTTGTATGTAGACGAGACGGCGATGGAGAAGAACAAACCCCAAGGGTCTTTTCGTTGTGCTCGGCCTACCAGATGGGCTGGATAACGAGATAAAAGAGGGCGAAAGTGGGCTTGTGACGGGTGATGACGATGGTGTTGCTGCTTGGGGACAAGGTTGCGTAATGACGGGGCTGGGGCAGGGGCTGTGATTTGCTGGAGGGCGAGGCTTGTGGGGCTGTTGCCTGCGTACAGGTACTTGTACTTGCGATCGTGACAAGGGCGGCCTCAAGATTTGGTCGCCTTTTTGTAGGGTAAGGTAGATGATGCCGCGGATATGGAAGGTATTCGGTGCATTACAGGTGGATTGGCTATGGGCGTCTTGATGCTGTCATTGTTGGATTAAACAGGGAATGATACCTAAGGTACCTATCCTTGAGCTGTTATTTGCCAGGCACAGGATGTCGAGGCGCGGTGTTGAGTCACGCTGAATCAATATACGGATCACTTATACGGACAACCTAAGGTTAGGACTTCAACAGCAATGGAACGCTGCTACCGTACCCCGGATTATGGCATTTCCTCGTACCTTCGTTAGTTGTGATTGCGTACTTTTTCATCAGAAGCACTAGAAAGTTCGTTTCTACCACTTAATTCTGGCCATTTCTTCATTACAAAGCATTCTGTGTGCACAGCCTTCAAAGAGGCGGTTCGTAGCCTCTTCGTACCTCTACTCCAGCTGCACGCTCGCATCAGAATGGGGCAGTTCCTCGGTCAAGGCACCTCACCGAGATATCCCGGCATTCACCCGCGGTGAGAGGCGGGCTGACCGTGACTTTTCTACCGGCAGCCTTGCCGCTAGCGCGTCGGTCATTGTTCCAACTTTCGCAACTTTTCACGCCCATCCGCAGCCATGGACGACCTTTTGAATCTCGAGCTGCTGTCGCTCGTGTCCAAGGTCACCTCGGAGCTGCAGAACCACGTCGGCATCAGCGACAAGACCCTCGCCGAGTTCCTCATCGCCCAGCGCCTCGAGAGCTCCTCCAGCGATGACTTCCGCAAGAGGCTCGAGGGGCTCAACGCCGACTTCCCGCCCAGCTTGGTCGACAGCCTGGATCGCCTCGTGGTGGCCATGCATCCCAAGTTCAAGGGCCAGAGAAACGGAGATGCCCACAACGACGAGCCGCATCACCACAGGACGAAGGAGGAGAACGAAAAAGTGTTTAGCGGACTCGCTCTGCCCGACAAGAAACCTGCTTATGACGACGGCGCGGACGCCATCGATGATACGCTGGCGCTTCTAGAGGGGCTCGAGGGCAAGGCAAAGAAGGAGAAGGCGTCTAGGAAGAGGAGTAGAAGTCCGGAAGATGGAGTCAGAGAGCCAAGATCACGGAGGCATCGATCAAGATCTCGAGACGGCCGGAGGCGGGACAAGTACAGGTCACGATCGCGATCGCAGGATGCAGGCGACGAAGACTGGCGGGACGGATTTCGAGAGAAAAAGTCGCGGAACCGACGACGATACGACTACAATGACTACAATGACGACCACGACGAGCTCAGCCGGGCTCCCGCACCCGAGATAGACGACGAGCCGATCATGAACAAGGTGTATCCGGGCCATGTCACCGGCATCAAGGACTTTGGCGCTTTTGTGAATATCCACCACGTCAAGGGAAAGGTGGACGGCTTGGTTCACATATCTCGCATAGTCTCCGGGCAGCGCGTAAACCACCCCTCCGATCTGCTGTCTCCTGGGCAGCAGGTCTGGGTCAAGGTTGTCAGCATCGAAGGCCGCAGGGTGGGGCTGTCCATGAAGGATGTTGATCAGGAGACTGGCCGAGATCTCGAACCACAGGCGCGGCTGACTACTGGCGCGAACATGGAGGCTCTTGGTGGTCGTGGAAGAAACGGGTTCGTCGACGATACCCCCGCAATGCCGCGGGACTCCCTGGGACCCCCAAGACGGCATAAGAAGCGAATGACTTCACCAGAACGCTGGGAAATCCGGCAGCTCATTGCCTCTGGTGTGGCGAAAGCGTCCGACTACCCGGATCTCGAGGAGGACTACAATGCGACGCTACGTGGCGAGGGCGAGATGGAGCTGGAGGAAGATGTTGACATTGAAGTTCGAGAGGAGGAGCCGCCCTTCTTGGCGGGCCAGACCAAGCAGTCCTTGGAGCTTTCTCCTATCCGAGTGGTCAAGGCTCCTGATGGATCGATGAACAGAGCGGCCATGGCAGGAACCACGCTTTCCAAGGAGAGGAAAGAGTTGAAGCAGAAGGAGGCCGAGGAGGCTGCCAAGGGGGAATCAAAGGAGAACCTCTCCGCCCAGTGGAACGACCCAATGGCCGACCCTGACAAACGCAAGTTTGCGAGCGATCTGAAGAATGCGCGAATGAACGCCAAGACAGAGGAGGAGCCTGAATGGAAAAGGGCGGTCATTCCCAAGGGTCAATCACTGGGCAAGCGCACCAACCTCAGCATCAAGGAGCAACGAGAGTCTCTACCCGTCTTTGCGTTCCGTTCGCAGCTGATCGAGGCGGTGCGGGAGAACCAGATCCTGATCGTGGTGGGAGAGACTGGCTCCGGAAAGACGACCCAGCTGACCCAATATCTCGCCGAAGCCGGGTTCGCCGAGGACGGCATCATTGGCTGTACGCAGCCTCGCCGTGTCGCCGCCATGTCAGTTGCGAAGCGTGTGGCGGAGGAAGTTGGCTGCAAGCTCGGCGAAGAGGTTGGATATACCGTCCGCTTTGACGACTGCACCAGTCCTGCGACGAGGATCAAGTACATGACGGACGGTATGCTGCAGCGTGAGATTCTCGTGGACCCTGACTTGAGGCGGTATTCATGCATCATGCTTGACGAGGCCCACGAGCGAACCATCTCTACCGACGTCTTGTTTGCCTTGCTGAAAAAGGCGTTGAAGAGGAGGCCCGACTTAAAGGTCATTGTTACCTCGGCCACGCTGGATGCCGACAAGTTCTCCGCCTATTTCAACGAGTGTCCCATTTTCACGATCCCTGGCCGAACGTACCCTGTCGAAATCTTGTATTCTCGCGAACCGGAGTCTGACTATCTTGATGCCGCGCTCGTCACGGTAATGCAGATCCATCTCACGGAGCCCAAAGGCGACATCCTACTATTCTTGACTGGTCAGGAGGAAATCGACACGGCCTGCGAGATCTTGTACGAGAGAATGAAGGCTCTTGGGCCGAGCGTGCCTCCTCTGCTCATCCTGCCCGTGTACGCACAGCTTCCGAGCGAGATGCAGAGCCGAATCTTCGAGCCCGCCCCTCCTGGCAGTCGCAAGGTGGTCATTGCTACCAACATCGCCGAGACCTCCATTACGATTGATGAGATTTACTACGTCGTCGACCCCGGCTTTGTCAAGCAGAATGCTTACGATCCCAAGCTTGGAATGGACTCGTTGGTCGTCACGCCCATTTCACAGGCGCAGGCCAACCAGCGTGCGGGTCGTGCTGGTCGAACGGGCCCTGGAAAGTGTTTCCGCCTGTACACAGAGGCTGCTTACCAGTCTGAGATGTTGCCGACAACGATCCCTGAGATCCAGAGACAGAACCTGTCGCATACGATTCTCATGCTCAAGGCCATGGGCATCAACGACCTCTTGCACTTTGACTTTATGGACCCGCCGCCGATCAACACGATGTTGACAGCCTTGGAAGAGCTGTACGCCTTGAGCGCGTTGGACGACGAAGGCCTGCTGACGCGCCTGGGGCGGAAGATGGCGGATTTCCCCATGGAGCCGTCGCTGGCCAAGGTGCTCATTGCTGCCGTCGACTATGGCTGCTCCGACGAGATGCTCAGCATCGTGGCCATGCTCAACTTGCCCAACGTCTTTTACCGCCCCAAGGAGAAGCAGTCGCAGGCCGATCAGAAGAAGTCCAAGTTCCACGACCCTCACGGCGACCACCTGACGCTGCTCAACGTGTACAATGCCTGGAAGAACAGCGGCTACTCGAACCCCTGGTGCTTTGAGAACTTTATCCAGGCGCGGTCCATGCGGCGAGCCAAGGATGTGCGAGATCAGCTCGTCAAGATCATGGAGCGCTACAAGCACCCGATTGTCTCCTGCGGCCGCGACACGCAAAAGGTGCGGCAGGCTCTCTGCACGGGCTTCTTCCGCAACGCGGCGCGCAAGGATCCCCAGGAAGGGTACAAGACCCTGACGGAGGGCACGCCGGTCTATCTCCATCCCAGCTCGGCGCTGTTCGGGAAGCAGGCCGAGTGGATCATCTACCACACGCTGGTGTTGACGACGAAGGAGTACATGCACTGCACGACGAGCATCGAGCCCAAGTGGCTGGTCGAGGCGGCGCCGACCTTCTTCAAGGTCGCGCCGACGGACAGGCTTAGCAAGAGGAAGCAGGCGGAGAGGATCCAGCCGCTGTATAACAAGTTTGCGGGCGAGGACGACTGGAGGTTGAGTGCTCAGAGAAGGGGCGGAAGGGGTGGTGGTGGTGGTACATGGGGTTAGAGGGATGCATTTACTGTTTGCGTATTGTCTATATATTTCGGCATGGAGTTTTGGGTTATTTGATGAAAAAGATGTGCATTAGTTCATGAGAATGAGCGACTTCTGGGCTAAGGGTGGTTTTTTTACAGTTACAGGGTTGAAATTCAAGACTGTGTCTTTGGATGATGAGACTGGATATATGCTCGTGCAACGAACGATGTGCTGGTGAACAAGATACTTTCTTTCTTTCTTTTCATTTCTTTTTCTTCTTCTTCTTTTCTTAGCTGTCTTAGTCGCCGAGTATGTGATGGCTGTTGAGTTGTCTTGTCCGCTTATGCGGATACGAGAACGATTATATGTGGATAGATGTGCTTCTTGCTATCAAACATTATGCTCAGAAATAGCCTTATATTGCTTGACAGCACCTTTGGGTGAATGCATCTCC